CCTGGCCATGGAGCCATTCCTCTGGCTCTAGGATCTTTTCCACACAAGCTGGTAGGTACTGGGGAGTAAATCTGCCCTGCAGTCTGATGCTCTCAGGGAGGACTGAGAAACTTTGCCAGGTCAGAAGTCCAAAAATCCTGACTCATAGCCTTTGAATCATGAGACCAGAGAAAAAAGTCCCCTGGTACGGGTGGATTTTGGAGTCTGTTTTTCACCTGTGAACTTCCCCTATCTACAATGTATGACATTTAAGCAGTTTTTATATATGTTGAATAATGTGGTCTTAAACCCAGTATCAGGATCATATTTCAACATGTATGTTCAATATGTCAATTTATTTCTCTCCCACCTACCAGACATCCTTCTCTGCTGTGCAGTCCCTCTCCAGGTACCATGGCACTAGGACACCCAGATTAGGGAAGGATCACTTTCTAAAACCGGGCCTTTGTCAAACCTGGATTATGACAGTTCCCCTTAGTAAAACCACAGCTGCTCATTTTAGCAAATTAGCACATTTAGTACTATTGTGGGATTTTTAGATTGTGGAAAGGGGGAAGTAGATGTAGGGCTATATGTAAAAACCTGCACTTAGGTATTTAAAAAGCTACAGTCATTGAGAGTTCACATCTATGAACAGTGTTACCTTGAGGTAAATCTTTCCCTCATCATGATACATAATGAGTATCATTTTCCTCAGCAGGGAAGATTGCTGAGCTCCTCCCCTCTTGAATTGATTAATGTCTTCTCTCTTCTACCAAATATCTTCTTTATTTTTATATTTATTTTTATATTTATTTTATTATTTTTATGAGACTCCTTATATCTGCATTATATCTGCAACACAGAATTAAATATTAAGGCTGTATAACTAATCCCAGGGTCTTGCTGCTTTTAGCCTTTCAAATGCCCCATAACTTGTTTTAAACAGCACTAGGCAAGAGAGGAGTTACCTGCTTCACCAGTGGAAGAAAAATATTTTAGGATAGAGTTGTGCTCAGGCTGGATGCCCAGGATAGCTTTAAAACATGTTTTTTTCTAAACAGAGTTTTGAAACTATATAGTGCCAAGATTATATATTCATATATTATGTTCAAATTTGAAATTATGTTGCTTGAAAATACATGGGTTTATGTTCAAATTTCAAATTATATAGCTTCAAATCCCACTGTGTTGTGTGTGTCAGTAAAAACGATTGGTCTGATGGGTAACTAAGTGGAGAAATAGCTGTTCCTCCTTTTTATGCTGAGATTTGCTTATAGGAGTGACTTCCTCTACTAATTTGTTAATTAATAATGGAAAAAAAATAAAGCAGTTCACTGACTTGATGGGCAAATGGCCACAATCTGCTTCTATTCAAAGACACCATAAACATTTTTCCTTCTTTCAAGAACAGCAGAGCAAATAATCCACAGCAATTTCTTGCTTTCAGGTTGAGACCCAAAAGTTTGTGAGTTGATATTTTACAGGCAGGTAGTGTAAGTTCTGCAAGAGAAGGAGAAGCCCAGGCTCAGACGTTGGGAGGAGTGACATTGCTGCTGACGAGCACTGTAGGTGGCATAAACGTCACATCTGGGAACTGATGTGTTTCAATATTAGATCTGAGTGTCCCACTGACATCCTGCTCTCACCCTTGTGTCACATCCTTCCAGCACAACATTCTGCTAAAAAAAGGACACAAAATCCCTCAAGAGAAACTCAGGTCCTCTTTCAATGAAGGTTAATTTTTGCTTTAAAACATGCAGGTTGTTTTGCTCTACAGATACTGGGGACAGGAAGGAAAGTGCAGAGAAAGTTTGTTTTAATTTTAACCATCATAGCGGTTATTTAAAATTTTTCCTAATATCCACATAAATGCCTCAAAACTTTTGTCTCTAACAATAATTTCTGGAAGAGATGGATGATCGGAAAAATATTAGAAAATTAAAAATATGCTAATTAATGTGTTTTGCTCTTGTAATTGTATTCATGTTATGGATTTCACTGTGTCCATTTTTTTTTCTTCTGTCCCTGTGTACAGAAGGTGAGTTACACCAAAGACTTTAAACAAGTCTCTGTCCAACTACTGTGGTTTTTTTGACTTATCCTTCTCTTCCTTGCAGCCATATCTGTAATTTTCTTTTTTTACTTTTTTCTAATAGCAGCTATTTTTATCACTCCAACTTCTCCTTTGGAAATTTAAACAGTTTCACATGAGCAGTTCATACACAAATATTTTAAAAATGGACAAAGTAAAGTCTTTTGTTTTCCTCCTTGCTTTCACTTCCCTTTCTTTACACTTCAGTGTTACTGAAAAGATTTTTCTTGAGAAAAGATTAATGCAACTGGCCCAAATGAGCAGCAGGAGCCACTGCATTTAGGAGTATGAAACATAATTATCTAATTGTCTAACAGTATGGACACAACACAAGAACATTAGAAATGTAAGAGTGTAAATACAGAGCAGGCATGCAGCAAATCTTAGTGGATTACCCCATCTTCCAGTGATTGGTTCTCAGGTGCTTCATGACCTCTCTGTCCTTGAAGATGAGACTTTTTGCACATCTTGAAGGTGAGGAACGTGCACTTTGTCACTGTGGTTTGTCTCGTGCACACTCTCACACAGGAAGAAGCCTCAGAGTGCTGACAAAAAAGCATTTGAGCTGTTGATGCAAAACACAGCCGGTGCCTGCTGTAACACCTTGTTATGGCTGGTGAGATGTAGCAGATCAGGATAAGCCACAAAAAGGTGAAATCAGTTACTTTGGAGAGGCTTTGCACAACTGAACAATACAGGGCAGCAAAGATAACTCATTGGAATAGTTTGTACCTCACAAACGCATTCTTGGATATTGCTCATCCTTGTCATCATCACTACATTTGACCCTTTATAAATGCTTGAAAATTACTGGGTGTGATAAATCTCTTGAGTTCTGGTATTCAAACTAAAACTGATCATCACAAATATTAATAGAAAATGGAGTATAGTTGGTTTTTTTCATCTGTGTAGTTACTACTGGTTTTCATTTGAACTAATATTTGAGATTCAGGTTAGCCTTGACATCCCAGAGGAAGACAGAACTCGAAGTCTTCTGGGCTAAGCCAAGAATCAAAATATTAAACTCTGAAAGTATGAGAAGATATAAATGTGCTTTCAATTGAAGAGGGGTATAGGTAGAGGGAGGAGTCGACTTCAGCCACAAGTGGATTGTGGTGCTACTTCCTTCCCCTTAAGGGTGTGTCAGGACAAGGGAAAATGTCACTAGGAGAAATTTCATAAATTGTCTGCTGAGTGCTGCTTTGTGATCTTCAGTTTGAGGGGAAAACCTTTCTGAAGGCCCTGAGAATTGAGTGGAGGCAAGTGAAGCTTGCTCAAGTGAACTGGGGGTGGATGCAGTGGCCAGTGGAAGAAGATTCTTCCCTGGACAGGGCTGAGAGCCTGGAGAAGGTGAGGAGTCGAGCAAATGAGGGGCCTCCTCTCCTCCTTCCTTATACTGGGCTGGGATGTAGAGTATTCCTGCTGGGAAGGATACAAGCTCCCAAGCTGGCAGGCCAAAGCTTCAGGCCAGTCCTTCAGCACTGGCTTTTTCTTGTGGAGTTTAAGTCCACACCTGTGGCTGCACTTTGGGAGCTGAGAGCCATTTACAGGTGAAATTCTCTTCGGCTCAGCCCCAGCCCTGTGGCTTAGTTCTGTGCCAAACACCAAGGAAAAATTCCTGCTCCAGACAGGTAGCTTAGAAAACCAGAGGCATCTCCTTCCTGAGGCTCCCTCATGGGTGCTGAGCATGGAAAGGAGACTTGGAGCAAAAGTGGGAGGGTAGGAGGCAAGACAAGCACTAGGAGCCACGTGTCCACAGAAGTCTTCTACTGTTTCCTGCCATGCACCATCACTGACTGCTCTGGGGGGAGGCAAACAGAAAGGAGAATATTCAGACAAGCACAGGCTCAAGAGAAATGTGCAAAGCCAGGAGGAAGGAAGGAGAGAGCACCCTCAACCACTCCTGAAAGTATTTTTATTGGAATGTGTGAGGTAGACAAGCTGATGAGTAACTAAGGTGGTGTGTGACTTGTGCCATGTCCCTTCCCTGGCTGTCACCATCTGCCTGACTATTCACCTGTTGTGCTTTACCATGGAAGGGGAGGTCTCCAAGACCCTTTGTGGTGTCCAGGTGTACGGTAGCTCACACTGCCAGGCGTGTTTGATTCGAGGACAAGCTCTGTATGTCAGCTCACAGATGAGGCCTGGGCAGAGAGCCACTGCTGACCCTGAAATCAAGCACCCTTTTAATCCCCTCTACACAGCAGTTTGGTAGGGGGCCCAGAAGAGACCCCTCCTCCTCCACCAAAGGTGGCAGCAAAACACTCGTCACCACCAGCCCTTATTGCAACCACTGTGTTCATAAGTTAACACCAGCTCAACCACCCTCTGGGTTAAGAATCGTTTTCTAATATCCAATCTAAACCTCCCCTGACACCATTCCAGGCCATTTCCTCGGCTCTTATCTCTAGTATGAGTGCTGTGCCATCTTCTCCACATGGCAGTGAGGATTCTCTTCTCCATTCATTCTGAAGATGGGACAATACTGAACCCAGGTTTTTTTTTCAAGTATGTCTAAGTTGCCCTACAGCTTCATCTACCTTACTTTTGTAGGCTGATCCTCATGTGAGATTTTGGGTGCAGGTGATACATGGCATGAGGAATGATGGTGGTTTTAGCATTAACAGTATGATTTTAGAATGGGAACTGACAAAAAAGAGATGGATGATTTTATGTCCAGGGACAGAACTTCAGATTTCCCTTGAGAGAGCTTCCACATAGCCACCAAAATCCAGTCCAGCTCTCAGAGGTGGAGGGATGTGACCCTCTCTTTCTCAGTTTATGTCTGAAAAGGAACCTTTAAAACATCATCCCACTTGCTCCACTGACATGTCAAGTTGGCAGCTATGAGACCATAACCTTTACTGACACATTTTTAAGTGATGCAGTGCTAACTTTCCACCTTGTCTTCTTATTCTCAGGAAGTGTCAGCTGAAGAAAGAATAATGGAACATTGTCTAAACAAAAGTACTAACTCCACTTGCCCAGAAATGCCCTATGAAGAGAGTCGGATACTTCTGGTTGCTGTTTACAGCATCGTTTTTGCTATAGGCCTTCCTGCAAATTGCTTAACTTCTCTGCTTACGTTTGTACAAATCCAAAGGAATAAAGTACATGCCATCTACATTTTCAGTTTATCATTGTGTGATCTGATGTATTTAAGTACCTTGCCTCTCTGGATTATCTACGTGCAAAATGGGCACAAGTGGACCATGAGTGACATTGCTTGCAAAACAACAGGATTCATCTTTTTCTGCAATATCTACATCAGCATTCTGCTTTTGTGCTGCATCTCTCTGGATCGTTACATGGGACTGGTGTATTCTCTGGAATCAAGGGGGAAAAGAGAACAGAAAACGGCCATCATAACAGTCTGTGTTCTCTTTGCTGCGGTTGCACTAATCCACATTCCAGTATTTTTCATGGAAGTTAAACAAACCTGCTTTGAGACAGTGCCCCTTAACACATTATTCGCTTCTTTAAACATTGCTAGATTCGTATTTGGATTTGCCATACCCTTCGCAATCCTCATTTTTACAAACTACTACATTTTCCAAACTACAAAAAGAAGCAGCAGCTTGACTTGTCATCAAAAAGCCAAAGTGAAGTATGTGGCTATTGCCATTATTCTTATTTTCTTGATCTGCTTTGCTCCATACCATGTTATGCTCATAATAAGAGCCATATATTTTATGTTTCATCAGGACTGTCCATGTCCATTTGAAAATAAGGTATATTCAGTTTTTACAGTGTTTCTGTGTTTAGGCACTGCAAACGGTGTTGCTGATCCAATCATCTACGTTCTGGTCAGTGAAAACATCAGAGAAGAAACTTATAGGAGCCTGAGAAGATGGAGACAGAACTCATCCAGGCTAAATTCATCCACTGATCACAATACTGACACCATAAGAGAGGAAACTCCAATATAATCAGAGGAACGGGGCCAAAGAAAATAAACAAAGAAATAACAGATTCATCCAACATTCAGAAAGCCTGTACTAGTGGCAGAGACCAGGGAAGTGGCAGCTAGCTGGTAGCTGCTGGAACAAATAAGAAGGTTCCCAGTGCCAGCTGCAGGACACAAGTTTTTGCATGTTCACATCATCTGGCATGTCCTGCATGGGTCATAATCTCCTTGAGGACACTACGGGAGCAGTAATTCACATTTCTCTTTGTCTCTTACAATAAACTTTGCCCACCATTGGTGAAAATACTGCTTTGCTGAGGATATGCGGAATAAACTAAGTAATTTACCTTGACTCAAATTGGATTCTTTAAAGCTTATTTTTTGGACTCTTTTTCTCATATGAAATAAAACCAGTTTTATCTTCTGAGAAAAATTTGAAAAAAGGAATGCTGAGGAACAATGTACTATTTTTATGGTTGAAATTTTTGCTTCTTGAGGAGGTACATGTTCAGGTTCTCATACATGTGCTCTGCTGTAATCGTTTGTGGTTAACCAATGGAAAATATTTAAAAAAAAGTAAGTCTTTCAACAAGTGCCTTGAACATTTTCCTCGTACTCCAGTATATGACATATTCAGAAGAATTAGAGGGCAAAAAATGGACTGATAACACAGACCAACAGTACTGCTGATGCATTAGTCAAGATCTTGTACTGTCCTGAAATTCTTAAAATGTACAATTGTAATGCTTGATAGTTTACAATTAGTAAATTTTACTGGTTTTGCAGTCGGATCTAGAATGCAATGAAATATACAGAAAATTTATATATTTCCAAATGGAGTCAGGGACTGCTTTTATGCCATCTCCAAATGTTTGTTGAATTCATATTTCATTTCTGACTAAGCTAACCCTTTCCTTTTGTTATTGATCCCACTTTTACTGTGTAGGAATCTGTAGAATACATGGGTAGGCTCACAGATAGTGATACAAATCTGGCAATGTTTATCTAAATAACTTCTTCATCTTTTTATGTGATTCAACAGACGGATCATTAATCAGTTTGAGTATGAGTTTGTAGAGTCTTTCATAGCATCATTCCATTTAATATGTAATGTTGTATTTCTGTGACATGTTGAAATTGTTATTGACATTGATATTTCTGCACTGAATTAATATTAACCAGTCTTAATATAAATACAATACCTTTTATTATCTTTAAATTAGCATAGATATTTCTGTATATTATGTTTTATTTTTATATATTCTTACACTTTTTCAAATAACCATTATGCCAAATTTATATATCCTCAATTTATACTATTTATTATGTACTTCATTTTTTAATTATTTAATTACTCCTCTGGTATTTATCTGTGAAATGCTTTTGTCATCAAAAGTAGCCCACATGATACTTAATTGAGATTGTTTCTTGGAAAAACATGAAATCCTGTTGTGGTGCTAATTAAAAAATTCCGAATTTCTATTTATAAATGCATCTCAGAGATCAAACTCTCTAAGGTATCAAGGAGAGACCTGCAAAGTGCTGAATATCTGTAACTTTCCCTTGCTAAAGAATTCTGCAGCAGCAGAACATGGCTCATGACAGCCCCTGCTAACCAGAGCACTGGTGACTCATCTCTGCAGATACAGATGCAAAGTGCCCTGACCTCAGGATTTTCATAGTCTGAAAGCAAACTTTAATGAATAACAGCAGTGAATTTAGAAGAAACTGGAGGTACAGGCTTCTGAACTGATTGACATTGATGCAAATTAGCTATTGACCTCGATGAAACTTCTCTGATGATTTTCGTCTGATAAAAAGTGAGTGTCGAGGGAGGGGATTGTCCTGCTCTGCACTGAGCTGGTGAGGCCTCACCTCAAGTTCTGTGTCCAGTTTAGGAGCCACAATATAAAAAAGACATTAAGATATTAGAGAACAACCAAAGAAGGGCCATGAGGATGGTAAGAGCTCTGGAGGGGAGGATATGAGGAGTGTCTGAGGTCACTTGGTCTGTCAAGCCTGGAGACTGAGGGGAGACCTTGTCATGGCTTCCTCATGGTAGGAATCAAGGGAGCAGGCACTGACCTCTTTTCTCTGGTGACAGTGACAGGACTTGAGGGATGTCCTGAAGCTGAGTCAGAGAATACTTAGGTCAGATGCTAGAAAAAGATTCTTCACCCAGACGGTGGTCAAGCAGTGGAGCAGCCTCCCCAAGGAAGTGGTCACAGCACCGACCCTGAGAGAGTTCAAGAAGTGTTTGAACAATGCTCTCAGGAGCACAGTGCGAGTCTTGGGGTGTCCTGTGCAGAGTTGGGCTTGATGATCCTTGTAGATCCCTTCCAATTCAGTATATTCTATGATTCTGTGAACCAACCCTGGAACCCTGTGCCATAGAGCCAGGGGCCAGGGATTATCAGGGTCTGATGCAACAGCTGCTTCGGTGAAACTGCATGCTGTTCTAAATTACTATGTCATTATACATCTTCTCTTAATGAAAATCCTTGGAGTTTCTTTGTTCAAACACACTCTGAAATAAAAGCTTTAGAAGTGACAAAGACTTGTGCAGTCTGATCTAACTTAAAAATTTACCTAGATAATCTCCAGAGGTGCTTTCCAAACTCAAATATTCTGTGATATACTGAAGGAGTCAGGGGCCTGGTACCAAGCAATGCATCCACATGAGAAAACTGCAAATGCTGACTTCTTTGGATAAAAAGAAAAGCACCTGTATGGCTGAGTGCAGGCATCAAGAAACATTCCATATTGTTAAAATATCTCATCAGATAAAGTGACTGGTTTTTGTCTGATAATTCAAGCAACTATCTATTTTTGTCAGTATCTGACTGTGCCACACAGGCAAAGGAAAGGTCTCAGCACCAGCACAAGAGTGAGATACACAGCAAAGGGCACTTCTCAGTTCAGAGCAGATCTGAGGGGTGAATTGCTTGTATGGGTCTTTCCACCCTTTCCTCCTGCAGAGACACCACCAGTGATCCCATCAGGGATCCACCGGGGACTGCTTCATGCTGTGAAGGGTTCACTTCCTACATCAGATCTCCAGTTCTCAACACAGCCATTTGGATCTGCACCCACATGGATCTGGCTCCCGACTTCCCCAACTCAGCCCAAGCTATGAGTTAGAGAGAGTACAGTCAAACCTAGGCTGTGCCTCCCAGTTTGGTCTTTAGATGGCCAGGTCTCCACACATAACGCTCAGAGCAGGTAAACTGCTCACTAGTGTAAAGGAGTGGGATTGGAAAATTTCACTCTTTTATACTCAGCATTTACTCGGGTATAACTTCCACCAATTGACTAAAAGAAGAATGGGCTACCATATAAATAAAACATTTTTTTATTTTTACATGTGTCTCAGACATTTATAATGTACCTGGGAGATAAGCTCATTGCTGATGATCTTAAGTATGACTATAAAACACAAAGTGAATAATTTCTGGCTATGAACTAGAGCTGGCCAGACTAGTTTTTGCAGACACTATATGTGATTTGTTTGCTTATTCATCAATTTTAAGTTATATCTGAAGACTGCAATTTTTTTAAGCAAATGTTTAGCATAACTCAATTATAAAATTATATTCCTAGCTAAGAAATGCTTTCATGTCCTGTATTAAATTTTTATTAAATTTATTAATAAAATAAAATTAATGTATTTATTAAATCCTGCAAGAGGATTGCTACAATTTAGCTACAAAGCTGGCAAAACCCCATAGGAATGAACTCAGACTCTCTACCTGTGACAAGTTTCTTCTGCAGTTGGTGGTCTTGTGACTGCTCTCATGTACACCCTAATGTCAAACTTCTGCTGGGTGGTGAGTGATGAAATCTAACTCAGAACCAGGCTTTCAGAACCTAATGGCTTTTCTTAGTGGGAATACTGTCATTCTACAGCACACACTGTGGGACAGGTATTCTTGGAAACTTCCTCTGTACAGTGAAACAATGCCAAAGTTCCCTGACAGTTTGGAATTCCTGTCTTATTTTCAAATCAATAGCAGCAAATAAGAGTGGGGGGACTTAATCAGAGAGATACAATAATTTTTTAACCTCTATGGCATGCAGGGAAGTATATAGGTGCCAGCATTCCCAGAGTTGTACCTCCCAGCATGTCTTCTGCACTGGGTCTAGAGGATGTGATACCACTCCCCTCCATCTCTTCCAGTGCCTGCTGGAAGTGGGTGGTTTGCATGGCATTACTCTCCCTCTTTCCCTGCAAAATGAACCTCTGCACAGGAGAGGGCGCTTCTGCTTGCAGCAGGTATGCAGCATGGTCTCACGACACAAAGTGACGTGAATGTGAAGCACAAATAGAGAAATGTTATCCCAAACTGGACTGACACTTATGCTTTGGTAATAGCTGTTAGTAGCTGCCATCATGAACTATTGGTAAGAAAGGGGAGGGCTCTGAACTCATTATGTCTAATCTGTAATTCAGATCACTGATAACTTCTAGGACTTTACTCTCTTACTCCATCCTGTAAGAAATGCTCAGAGGTAAGGAAGCAAAAATCAGCCTTTCAGACAGAAAGTGTGCCAAGGAGATATGATAAGATGTGGTAAAAATTTTACAAAACATCACATGAATATTATCTACAAAAGCAACCTCTCACTATGCCATGAAATGATCTGTCCTGTTTGGTAGACTCTGTCAGTGAAAGGGCTTGTGCATTTCAGACCATGATCACAGAGTATCTCTCTATGTTCAAAGGTCTGTCTTGAAATATTTTCTTGAGGGCAATGAAGAATCAAAGAGAAGAGAGATACTGTGGGAAAAGGGTGCTGTATGATATACAAAGTCCTGAAAAACCTTGTAAACCTTAAGTCACAGATGTTCTGAACAAATATGCAAATATCCATGTTCAGAAAGCTACTTAGAAATGCAGAAGCCTGTATCACAGTTCCCCATCTGTAAAATGTGACATTTCTTCCCTTGAGCATTGTCTGCCTCCTCGGTTTAAAATACAACCCCTTGCTGGAGATACTAGAAAGCGTGAGCAGGTGTGCCTATGCATATTCAGAGCTAATTGCAATGGAGCAGGGAACAGCACTGTGGAGGCAAATATGAGGTATTAAAGCACAAATTATAATTAGTCAGCACTTTCAGGGTCAGATTCAAAGTACTTTATTTGCTTCTGTTTATGCTGGGGCATCAGAAAAAAA